CTGACTTGCTCCTTCTCTCGAACATTAGATATAGATATAGATATATAGATGATATAGATATTGAATATAGATAAATAGATAACCACCTCTTCAACAATGTAGAGAGAGCATATAAGGCAGAGCACATAACCTATTTCTTTCTTTCTTTTTTTTTTACAAATAGTTTATTGTCAAATTAGTTTCCTCATAACACTCAGTGCTCATCCCCACAAGTGCCCTCCTCCATGCCCCTCCCCCCCCACATCCATCAGTCCTCAGTTTTTGTCAGCATTCAAGAGTCTCTCATGGTTTGCCTCTCTCCCTTTCCCCCACCATTTCCGCCCTTCTTCTCCCCCTTGTTCTTCCGTCAAGTTCCTCCTAATCCTCCTATACGTGCAAACATATGATATTTGTCCTTCTCTGCCTGACTTATTTCGCTCAGCATGCACATAACCTATTTCTGAACTACTCTAAATGCTAACTTGCCCGAATGTTTCCAACGTGAAGAAATAATTTCAAGAAAGATACCCTACTAGTGGTTCTCGAAGTGTGGTCTAGAACAGCATCAGCACATTCCCCTCTCCATCCATCACTCCACTTTGTGAAAGACGGGAGAGGGGGAGTAATTTGTGTTTTAACAAGCCTCTAAGTGATTCTGCTACAGACTAAAGTTTGAAAATCACTGTCCTCAGAACACACTGTAAGTTAGGGATCATATTCCACCCTTAGAAACAGAGAACTGAGGTCACAGTAGCTTAAAGTATATATCACCCATAAAAGAACATGACGTAGGTGGTTTTGGATGGTTCAAATGTATTACTTTTCTCTCCTTGCGATAGAACTTGCATCCTCATGGTTTCAAAATGGCTGCTGAGATTCGAGCTGTTACAAACACATTCTAGACAGCAGGAAAAAGCAAGGGAGGGGGAGGGAAGGCAAACTAAGTAAGCCATCTTTAAAGTGTATTCCCAGGTGCCCCACCCAATGACTTCTGCTTTTTCTTATCTGCCATCCCTACTTGAAAGGGAGGGTGGGAAATAACAGTTGGTTATATTGTTGCCCAGAATAAAACAAAACAAAACAAAACATAGAATCCAAGGAGAAGGAATACTAGAAGGAACTAGCACCCTTTAGAGCCTCCCTGGAACAGAGTTAATCATCAAAGGCAAAGTTTTGAGAATATTATTCTGAATGAGCACTTCCCTAACCATACATTAAAACACCTTCTTTGATTGTGAGAGGACTGTCTGCCTCCTTGCTTTAGATAAAGGTCTTTGCTTACTTTGGAAATCAGAATAGTTATTTATCAGAAAAAATAAATACAATTTATTTCACATAGGTTGAGGCTGTTTGATATATACCGACCAAATGTACCATCCACTTCTTTGACAGGGTGATTTGTAACATATGAAAAGCAATAAGAAAAAAAATCCATTCTCTTCAGAATTGTAATTCCTTTTTCAGAAAGTAATTCAAGGAAAGGAGAAACTATATGTATCAAGTACAGCACTGTTATTTATGACAGCAAGGAAAAAAAAGCTAATTTACAATCCAAATGTCCTGTAATAAAGGAAAGGCTGAGTGTATTATGGTATGGCCATTAGATAGCCATAAATATCATGCAGGAACATGGGAAAGTGTTTGCAGATACATTGTTGGGAAGAGAGACAAAAAGCATATATGTATGTGGATAAGGTCGGAGAGGTATTCAGAGAAGTATAATGGTTTGGTCAGGAAGTTAGAATTATGAATACAAATGGTTTGTCTAAATTTCCTTTATTCTATAAGAAACAATGGCAACAATGACAATAAAAAAAGTAAATGAAATTAGCCCCATCACTGACCGTAAGTTTTCCTCAGATTCTCTCCTGGATGTTTGTCTTCTCCATGATTCAGTCCCAGGTGCTCCCAGGAAGAACTCCACTGCTCCATTGTGAAGGCCACACCTGAGGCCTGGCAGAGAGTCTTCTCTACATTTTTACACACCCATACGATTTGACACACTGATTATCTGTCTCTGAAGCGAAGCTCCAGCTGTCCGTTATGCATCCCCGTAAGAATATTTTTCCAATAGTGAGAATAAATTTGCCCTCTCTCCTGTCAGGGTTTTCCCATAATCAGTTTCATGAAATAAGAAGCCAGGTGTCCTGGCTCATATGTAGATTCGTAGACCCCAAAGGGAATAAAAAAATATGGAGTCAAGCCTATGGGTCTTTAATATGATGCTGAATTCCCCCTCCCCCGCCGCCCCCAGCCACTACCGAAAGAAGTCCAAATCCTTCCATGAGATTGCTGTGGATGTGTATGGTTGTCCAGCTTGGCAAGACCAAGTGTTAACCAGAGGTTAAGAGTAGATGTCAATTTTTATTATGTAGAAAATTCCCAAAATGGCCTTACTCCTTTAGATGGACTGAGATTTGTGAGCATGACATGCATGCTCCTTGCCACCTAGGGAGGTTGGTGGCAGTAACAGCTTTAAAAAGGGTGACAGAGGAGGGGCGCCTGGGTGGCTTAGTTGGTTAAGCGTCCGACTTTCGCTTAGGTCATGATCTCGCGGTTCGTGGGTTCGGGCCCCGCGTCGGGCTCTGTGCTGACTGCCAGCTCAGAGCCTGGAGCCTGTTTCATTCTGTGACTCCCTCTCTCTCTGACCCTCCCCTGCTCATGCTGTCTCTCTCTCTCCTAGAAATAAATAAAAACATTAAAAAAAAAATTAAAAAAAAAAAAAAAAAGGGTGACAGAGGAAAACTGGCCACTGGGATTTTCAGAGGGGTTGGGAGGCATAAGTATAAGCAATGACAAATAGTCCTTAGCTTAGTAAAACTAGGAATGGTGTTATCCAGAACAGAGGGGCCGTTCATCAGGAATCAATGGCCAACCAAGCCTGAACGCCTGGTGGAACCATAGTCCAGGGTGCTCACACCAAGGCAGGAGTCTTGGTATAGAGAGAAAAACAGTCTTGATTCTCTAGGAACTGAGGACCTGAGTTGAAGAACCTCAACCTACTCTATCAAGAACTAACTTCCAGGGTCGCCTGGGTGGCTCAGTCAGTTAAGTGTCCAACTCTGGCTCAGGTCGCGATCTCATGGTTTGTGAGTTCTAGCCCCACGTCGGGCTCTGCACTGACAGATCAGAGCCTGGAGCCTGCTTCAGATTCTGTGTCTCCCTTTCTCTCTGCCCCTCCCCTGCTGAAGCTCTGTCTCTCTCTCAAAAAGTGAATAAACATTAAAAAATTTTAAACAAGAACTAAAATCCATAAAGTCATCAAGCAAACAAGAACATTTGTCTAGATGATTTATCTTACAGGAGAAGTCAGTCTGAAGGAGAATGAAGACAGATCCTGAAAAATTCTTTCAAATTAAACAACTCAAGTTTGTATGCCCATATTTTGGGTATAATACACACACTGAATTCTTTTACTCTAAAGTGAAATTAACTTGCTCTTCATATACGGGGTAGGTGTCATGAACTGAAAGTCTTTGTGGGGAACAAGTACAGCCAGAGAAAGGAAATATCATAAATTCCAGGGGGCTTGGAAGTACCTGGGTGGCTAGGCGGTTAAGGGTGTGACTTTGGCTCAGGTCATGATCTTGTGGTTTGTGAGTTAGAGGCCTGCATGGGGCTCTCTGTGGTCAGCACAGAGCCTGTTTCAGATCCTCTGTCTCCTTCTCTCTCTGCCAGTCTTCCAGCCTCTCTCTCTCAAAAATAAATAAACATTAAAAACAAATTCCCGGGATTCAGTTTTTGGAGCACATTTTTATTTTACAGTACCAGAGAATTAACATCTACTAGCAGCACAATACCAAAATGCAACCCCAATCTATTTAAAACTCACAGAAGGGGAAATATGCCTTTCAAAAGTGGTAAAAAACAAACAAACAAACAAAAAAAAACAATGCCACAAACAGCTGTAACATATGCATAGTACATTCAGAAGAAGATTGTCTTTTTGTTTTCAGGAAATATGTCAAAATATATATATATATGTATATATAATATTCACATTCTGGGAGGCAAAGAAGTCTTCAAATTTACTCCGCAAATTTAAACATTTTATCTATATATATATATTTCACTCAGAATAACCAAAACATTAAAAATAGCAGCAACATTGATCTTTAAATATTATAACATTATAGTAGATAATTCACATAATGTAGATATATTTTAGTAGCTCTTTCATGGTTAATATCTAATACAATTTACAAACTTCAAGTCCTGGTCTCACTGCCAGACAACTTAGAATCTAGATTCAATAAATACTATGCAAGGAATGACTATAAAACACGGGCTGTAGAACATTCTCTAGAGCAGAAAAGATCATACCAAAAGATCTTAGGAGAAAGTCAGGTCTGGAAGAGGTTCGAAGGCCTGTCAGGAAATTGTCGGGTTCCCAAGGCAAAAGAGACGAACGGGCAAGCGCCCTGAAATGTCGAACTGAGTCATGGGAAACGTGTCCCTGGGGAAAATGACACTGCCATCTCTTCATGGTGCCATATTTCATGTGACTATGGCCTGAAAGTGATTAATAACTGGAAATTTCCCCAATAAACAGGGGGCAGACTCATTTCTCACCCAGAGGCAGGATATGGGATCGGGAGATCGAGTTTTCAGCCTTTACATTTTACTCTCATGACCAAAGGCATAAAAGCCAAGATGTCAGCAAGAACTTGTGTATTTAAGATGAGAAGGTAGGAAAAATATTTCTACCTCTATCCACCATCCAAGCCCCTGGATCAATTTGCTAATCATATTGGCTTCAAAAGAACCCCAGACGCGGTAACAGGGGTTTCTTTGTCCCTGGATTCATTTATAGAAGTTGCACATACTTCTATATGTGCAGCCTGCACATACGGCTTCTTTTATATTTCAGAGGTTTTCCAGAAAAGGTAAGTGGTTATGTTTCACAATGGGGTTGGATCTCTGTTTTGTTTTGTAATAACACTACTCTATGATATTTATTGTCAATAGTTTGTCTCTATTTTCAAACCAGTTCACATATTATTTCAGTTGATTCACACACACACACACACACACACACACACACACACACACACACACACGTGAGGAAGCCAGGGTAAGCATCCAAGTTCACTTCAAAGAGCAGGAAAACCGAGGCTCCTAGAGACAAAGTGACTTAGCTTGTCACAGTCACACACACCAAAATGGTATGTATCTTCTGTGGAACTCAGCTCTGTCCAACAGTGACTTACTTTTAAGAAAAGGGGCTTGGTCACAGTTGTTTTCTGAAGAATGAAATAATGTGGAGCTGAGTAGGGAGGGGGAAAAAAAGGAAGAAAAATGAGTTCTAGGGAGGAAGAAAGGGAGCATAGTGATATCACTTGGCAGTCAGCATCATATGCTTTAAAACAAGCAAAGTGCATTTCACAGGTAGAACACAGACATTTTAGAAAATATTTAAATACCTTAGTCTCCCAAATGGTCTCATATTGGCTTTGATTATTACATCTTTATGTAGATTCTGAACCTGACACTGAAACATAAGACCAGGAAGAAATTTTTATATGAGCCTCACGATTTCCGAAGAGACGTAAAAATGTTACAGTCTGTTCTCAGGGCTGTGCTCCTGTCCCATTTCAACTCCAGCACAACACAGTTACATTAAAATGGATGTATATTTGATTCGTTGTGGTAGTTTTCTATAGAATAGGTTTTAAAAAACATCGTTAGTGAAAATTCTTGCTATGTTCTTAAGAAAGTTAACTTTTCTTCTCGCTGTATCTAAGCTGAGAAGACATCAGTGAACTTAGAGGTTTTATCATTTTAAGTCTGGATTCTACCTGATAGTTACTGGAGATGTAAGCAAGAGTTTTAAATGACCATCATAGTTAATTCAGAAAGCTGTCATATTTTACACAACCTTTTTGAGAAAACTCAGTGGCTCTTAGCTTAATGGTTCCATAAAACAAAATTATACTAATTTCACTGTAAAAAAAAAATCCCTACATATAATGATAATCTATGAGCTAGAAGACTTAGGGTGGATGTTCAGGAGTATAACATTTGGAACTACTAACCACGTTCTTATTTTTCATCAATAAGTGTGTTTTAAAGATAAATGAACTAAAAAAAAGGAGACCATTCATGAAATCATTGTGTGACATGATGCAAAAGTCCTATAAATCCCTTTGCTTCTCTTCAGGCACCATCTGTCCCAATCCCCCTATACCCCACCCAACCTCCCCAACATTCATACACTATAAACGCCCCACCGACAGAGTTTCGTGACTCTGAATTGAAAGAGTGAGGCACTAATAGGTAAATTATGCTTTGGCAAGCAGGTAACTGGACTATTCTCTGAGCTTTCCTGAGGTAGTGGTTTCTCCTTCTAATATTCTTTTTTTTAATGTTTAGTTTTTATTTTTGAGAGAGAGAGAGAGAGCATGAGCGGGGCTGGGGAGTCGACAGAGAGGGAGACAGAGGATCTGAAGTGAGCTCTGCACTAACAGTGGTGAACCCGATGCTCGAACTCACAAACTGTGAGATCACGACCTGAGCCAAAGTCAGACACCCAACTGACTGAGCCACCCAGGCACCCCCTCCTCCTAATATTCTAATGGTTAAAAAGAGTCTAGGGAGCTGAATTAAGCGACAAGTGGAGAGGTGGTCACTAAAACGCTTCTCTGAAATTGGTGGTTTAAAAAGTTATGGGATTATACAACTCATTACAACTTGAGTTTAATTTCCTACATGTTTCTGAAAAAGTACCTGGCACATAGCTGGAAGTCAATAAGCATCTGATGATTGTTTCAGATCTCTGGTTTAGCTCCAGAAGACTACAAGGAAAAACAAACATAAAAACACCCATCCAAGTGCAGGCTAATTGTCACCAAAGTCTAGGTCCTTTTGCCATATGTGTGGAATTTTGGACACCTCTCAAACTATGAGGTTAAGCTCAAATGGCACTGGGCATAGTATATAGCACACAATTCTGTATTAGCTCCATTTATCCGATAACCTTATTTCTATCATGATGTTATCATGATGTGATTATGGGACTTTTAGCCATAAAAATGGGATTTTTTGAGGACAAAGTAATCCATTCTCTCTGTTGTTCTTCAAGCTTTTCTGCCAGGCATTTAATCAAGACAGGGTCGACCTTCGAATCAAATTTATTAGCAAACCAATGTCCATCATTGATAAGCCACCTTAATTCTGCTGCTCCGTAGATACACACACTTCGAAGGTGGGAGCCAGTACAACGTGGATACAAAAGGCCTTCGTGATAATTCCACTTGACAAGGCGGGTCTTACTCTGTAAGTCAGACACATCCTGGGCTGACCTAGAAATCTCCCCAGGAATTCCTGGTACCCGAATTAAGGTAGCCCAAAAATGTTCATCAGGTGAGTATGTATCTTTAGACCAGGCAAAAAAGTCTTTAACAAGAGAGTTGTTGAAAATATATTTAACAAATGCTCGACTTAAAACAAAATAAGCACTGCCAACAAATATCTCAATGTTATGAGGGGGGGCTTCCTTGGAGATGTTTGTCCTTATTGGTAGCTTCACATATTCATAAGGCACCTGTCTTAGTTCGTGGTGATAAGTGAATCTTTCCATTTTACTGTTAGGGGGTTTTACCGTTTCTAACATATTGGCCCCATTGAGTTTCTTCAGCTCTGACACTAATTCGAAGTTTGACTTCAAAGGAAAATCTTGCCCACACAGATTGATAACGTATTTCCACTGAACTGAAGACTTGAGGAGGTCTGACAAGCAATTTAAATCAGCTTGGAGTCTGGAAATGTGTGCATATTGTACTGTCTCTATTTTGGAGGCAACGAAAATATTGGAGAAGCACTTAGCCAAATTGTTCATGGCAACTTTGAAGGTGTCAGGTGACTTATAGTCATAATGGATGCAGTAAATATTGTGCTCGTTGTATATAGCATGGATTAGTCTTTCAACCATAATCGCGTCTTTATGAACAACCAAAGAATACGCTATCGGGAAGCTTTTCTCCTCCCTTGAAACAGGTTTTTGACGGTACCTTCTTAGGGTTTGATAAATGTCACAGTCACTGGTTATTGCCATGACGTCCTCATCATCCAAGTCGACGATGTCTCTCCTTCTTATTTCCAGACTCTTGCCAATTTCCAAAGGTGCCTGCTCATAGACACCCGAACAGTTAACTTCATACCTGACTTCATTCTTAACATTGGTGTATCTGTTTCTTACAAAAGGTGAGGTACTCAGGGAGTATTCAACCAAGTAAATGCCTCTTTGAGGGAAGAGGAGTCTTCTCACATTCAGAAGCTTCAACAGGGAGAACAACCATAGAGTTAAAAACAAGATGAAAACTTTCTGCTGTGCTGGGTATTTAAAACAACATTTGAATGTCTTCATTCTGTAAGAAGGAAAAGGAATAATGCAGGTGAAATAAGAGAAAGAGAACTGACAGACCATTAGTTCAGTTCAATCGATATTCACTGGGTACCTTTCACATGCCAGGCAGAAGGCTGGGCCCAACGGTAAATAAAACAAGGTTCTCACTCTTATGAACATTCAGAAATGAGGAAATGAGAATATATAGAATGGTGGTATTTTGTGGTATTCTGTGGTAATTATACCTAAATTCTGAGAGATGCTGGTTACCAAATAATGGCAAATAATGTAAGCTCCTAAAATATAGGCACTATGTAACTTTTACTGTCTGTGCTTCTGCTAAGCATATTTGGGGCGAGATTACTCTGGCATGGGCAGAGGTCTGGAGAGTCAGATGGCCCACCTGAGCCTAAAAGTAACATCCGTCTTGATTCTACCTTCAGATCCTCATTAGATATAGATCTGAAGTCAGATGAGGAGAGCCCAGTGAACCCCACTGCTATAGACTGAATGTTTATATCCCTTCCCAAATCCAGAGGTTGAAAGCTAAGCTCCAGCATAATGGCATTAGGAGGCGGGGGCTTTGGGAGGTGATTAGGTCATGAGGGTGAGTCCCTCATTAGTGGGATTAGTGAGCTTGTAAGAAGAGACCCCAAGGAGCTCCCTTAGCCCTTCCACGACGTGAGGCATGGATTAATGACATCCATACTATGTGAAGAAGCTGGCGCATGTGCCCACGGGGAACAATTTCCATGATATACTGTGAAACAGAAATAAGCAAAATGCCTAACTATGTTTACTGCGCTCACACGTGCGACAAAAAAAGATGATGCAAGCCGTATCTACACAGAAAGCGCACACGCTGGCAAACTTTTCTTTCTCTCTCACGACTACTCAACTCTGCCATGGTGGTGGGCGAGCAGCCACAGATAACTCATCAAGGAGAGGGCTTGGTTTTGTTCTAATAAAACTTTATTTACAAAAAGGCAGCTGGCTGACTATTTCCTAAAGGATACTGTGGAGACATGATACTGGGAGCAGGAGCTGCTTTGCAGGGTGGGGTGGGAGAGGGTGGGGGCTTAGGGGCCCAGGTGGGAGGAAAATGTACTTATCAGTGAATATCCTTTTTTCCACTTTTTTTTTTTGTAGATAAAAACAGGCTAATCAAGTGAGGGGCACAGATGGGTTTATTTTGGGAGCAGTAGGAAGACGGAACCAGAAAGTGCCGTTCCAAGGCTTGAGGACAGAAGTGCCCGCTGAGCTCACAAGGCTGCTTCAAAGAGGTTCCAACCCTGAGAACTGGGGAGGTCTGAGGTCCCCATGTGCAATTTCCTAACACATCTCAATAAATCTTAAATGAGGACAATCATTGTTCCCAATTTTCTTAGAATTAACAAGCAATCTGAACCTGATTTATTTTTGTAGATTTCTTCACCACAGATCAATGGAACTAGCTCTCCTGGGAAGGACATGCCCTCCTTCACCTTCGTTTGAATCACTCGTTAAACAATAACACCTTATTGACAGTAGACTGCCCTGCAGAACCTGCCCCCCCACCCCCGCCCAAGCCACCTTGCAGCCTCTCCTCAAGTTTCCTAAACGTCCTGTTTCTCACTGTCTTCTTTTTTTTTTTTTTTTTTAAATATTTTTATTTATTTCTAGGAGAGAGAGAGAGACAGCGTGAGCAGGGGAGGGCCAAAGAGAGAGGGAGACACAGACTCCGAAATAGGCTCCAGGCTCTGAGCTGGCAGTCAGCACAGAGCCCGACACGGGGCTCGAACCCACGAACCGCGAGACCATGACCTAAGTGAAAGTCGGACACTTAACCGACTAGGCCACCCAGGCGCCCCTTTTTTTTTTTATTTTTAATTTATTTTTAATGTTTTTATTTGAGAGGGGGAAAGAAAGAGAGAGAGAGAGAGAGAGAGCGCATGAGCAGGGGAGGGTCAGAGAGAGAGGGAGACACAGAATCTGAAACAGGCTCCAGGCTCTGAGCTGGCAGTCAGCACAGAGCCCGACGCGGGGCTCGAACCCACGAACCATGAGATCATGATGGAAGTCGGACACCCAACTGACTGAGCCACCCAGGTGCCCCTCGATGCTCTTCTCACGCACACTCTCCCTAGCCCTCTGAAGGCTCATGCCCACATACACACTGCCAACACCTTTATCTCCAGTCCTCACCTGTTGTCTAAGCTTCTGACATGAACATCCGGCCAGCTGCTTGACGGGCATATCCACATCCCCACAGGAGGCCAACTGAGTCCAAAACTGAACCTGACATCTTTACCTCTCCTGTGTTTTCTCTTTCAGTTTATGGAGACACCACCCATTCAGTGCCCCACGCCTGAAACTTGAGGGTCATCTGACTCTTCCTTTCCTTCACATCCACACTAACAAGCCATCTCGTAAACAGGCCCCAATTCATCTCCTTTTCTCCATCCTCATTAGCTGAATCAGCACCCAGGTCGCGAAATCCATCAGGCTCATGGCTCTGGGTCCCTTTGTCAGGTCTCAGCCTTCTGCTCCTCTGAAGCAAAATGAGTAGGGTTCCAGCCACACCGGCTCAAGGCCAAGGTTCCTGCTCGTTCTTACAGAGCGTGGGAAAACTCACTCCCAACGCACAGGGCAACAAGCTTCTTCAGAAGCTCGAGCACATGTTTAGAAGTAGGTGTTGTGATAAAATTTGATTCAGAAGATTCATCAATCCCAAATCAATCTATCTCATCTAGGTCCCAATTCATGGTAATTCGGCACACACAGGAAGGAGCGTACATAAATGGCTAGAACTAGAATGACTCTTACCCAAAGTAAATTTTTGCTTTGTCATTTCTCCCTTTACTGACCCACGGGATCCCTACTTAGAATAGTTCCCCCTGATGCCACAGTGGAAAGTGAAAAAATCTCCTTACGTTTCTCAAGAGGTTTGCAAGTCTTCCAGAGTTGTCATGGCGTTTATGATGTGCCATTTAACCATCATCTTCACACTTACATCAAAAGGCAAAGGCTGGCTCTCTGTCCTGTCACCCATTCTCGAGGGCTCTGCTGTATGCTTGCTTCCTCATCCTTCCTGAGACACCGGGAGCATACACTTCCTGATTCCAGCCTGGTGCCTAGCGAGTCCGATTTGAGCTGGCGGGTATGGCACCTGCCCACGGAGGGAAGGCCGCGGGGCACAGTGGCAGGGAGACGTGGCGGGCTCTCTGTGGGGCGTCCTGGGGGCAGGGGCTGAGCTTCGCCAGCTGGGATGAGAGTTAATTCTAAAGCAACGTGGGGGAGGGAACTGGGACAGCCCAGGCATCTGGCTGTCTGATTCTCCTTTCCTGCTCTGGGCATCTTTAAGGAGGAGAGCTCATATGTCTCCAGGTCAGCCTCAGACGCCAAGGGAACCGAGCAGTCCTCCAATACCACCTTGTCTCAAGTGCAAGTAAAACTGCTTCCCTTGCTTACCGTGGCCAGAAATCCCTTTGACTGAAAGATGTGGTTGATATCTATCTATCTATCTATCTATCTATGATGGAATACTGCTCGGTGATCAAAAAGAATGAAATTTTGCCACTTGCCACATTGCAGCAACATGGATGGAGTGAAGCGAAATTAGTCAGAGAAAGACAAATGATAAAGCAGATGAATATAAGCAAAGGAAAGATAAAATAAGAACAGAGAGGGATGCAAACCATAAGAGACTCTTGAGGACAGAGAACCAACTAAGCGGAGGGTTGCTGGAGGGGTGTACGGTGGGGGATGGGTTAAATGGGGGATGGGCATTAAGGAAGGACTTGTTATGATGAGCCCTGGGTGTTATACGGAAGTGATGGATCACTAAGTTCTACTCCCAAACCAATACTACACTGTACTCCCAGCTTTGGTGAGAGGTCAGTAGGACGCCCCTGGGCATGAAAGCCTGCAGGTTAGAGTCCACAGTTCCCAACCGTGGCTCCGCTTTTTCCTGGACAGAACCCGTGTGTGACACCCTGGTCAGGAGCCCCGGAGGGCAGGGGAGGGCGGGGGTTGGGGGTGGCAGGCACCTGCCCATAGCGGACTGCCTCCCTTCTCTGCCACAGGCAGTCCAAACGAGCGAGTCCCCACAGGCCCCGGTTTGGGGGATGGAAACGAGCTCCTGATGGCTGTCCAGGGCTGGCTGGCGCCAGGCCGCCCGTTCCACCAGCCACATGGTTCCTAGGAGACTAGGGCAGCAGAGCCACCTTCTGCAAACACCCCACCCCGGCTCCTTCCCTCTTACAGGCCCTGACCAGGAAGCAGGCTGGTGTTTTGCTGCCAGGAAGTGGTCTTATAATTACATTATGAATGAGTGCCCTTCCACCTGCCCAGGCAAATAAGGAAGCCCAGCCCACTGCCAAGTTCACTGCCACCCAGGTATGAGTTCCTAGCGACGAAGACAGGGCTGAGAAGGACATGGATCGCTCTAGCTACCTCAAACAAGCTGTTTGGATAATTCCATAAAAACCCAGCACAGATGTTGAATGAAGCCATTCCCCCAAACCATCTTCTAGTCCCAGTCCTTCCAGGCGCTGTTTACAGGCTTAAAAGAAACAGCACACGGTGCACTCAGCTAAGTGGTTATAATTGCAGTCAGGGCTAAGTGGCCACAGCCATGAGCAGCTCTTCCCCAGACTCCCCTTAGGTCAGCAATTTCAAAACCCAGGACATGCTCGTCATCCCCGGGATGGAAGGAGAATGGTCCATCAGGACAGGGAGGAAGGAGTCTGAGGAGAAAAGTACTGAATGTCGTTCAGCTTAGGGACCAAGAATGAGGGACCTAGCGTTCAGATTGCAGATTGGGTGGCCTCGGCCCCCGCCCCTCCCCCGACTTCCTTGCTCCCGCTCTGCACGACCTGACTCCTTTCCAGTAACTCAGACAGGTAGTGGGGCACTTGGGAGGGAAGAAAAAGTATGTGGGCTTCAGGATGCCCCAGACCCGGGCTTGAATCCCTGGAGGAATACTGAACAGCTGTAAGACTAATCAGTGACTTCACCTCTGAAGCCCCGTTTTCCTACCAA